AGATTTGATTGTAAAAAATTCTGTACACACCGTACTCCCTTTTAACGCACTCCCTGTAAACCTATTCCCTAAAATTCACTCCCTTTGAAGCTATTCCCTCAAAACTCTTTCACTCAAAACACCCTCATTTTTAACTCACTCCCTTCAAACATCTTCCCTCAAAGCTTACTCCCTCTAAACTTACTCTCCTTAAACTCACTCCCTTCAAACCTATTCCTCAAAAATCACTCCTTTTAAACTCTCTTTCAACCTACTCCCTCAAAACTCACTCCCTTTAAACCTACTCCCTCAAACTCCCTTCCTCCCCCTAGTGTCGGGATAGATGCAGGAGGGAAGGGAGGGGCCGTTATTACACAGTAAGGGCGGCGAGCTTTTAGCCAAATTGCTCCGGTGCGGACGATGGACCAAAGTCGTGCTCCGCCTCGACGGTTATCGAACCTCAGCCAGCCACAGGCAAAAGCAAATTCTGGCTCCAAAGAAGCAAACGAGACCCAAATTTGGCGTTCACATTTGAATTTATCTCACACTGATGCAAGTGGAACCAAAACGTGCCTGTAACATTTACATATGTGTAGAAATCCAGCCGGTAAAAGTGTACGATGATGAACACGGTCGGAATGCAAGCTTGAAAATTGTTTGAAAGTTGGAAGCTTCTTGATAGATGGACAAAGCCATCTATGAAAAAAGCAAAATTTTCTAAATTTAACTCAATATAATAAAACCGATTATGAGTATTATGCAGTCTTCAAAATTAATTTTATTGGCTTGAAGAACTTATTAAGTATTTTATGATCCCATAAATGTCCAAAACTGGAAAAAAATAACGAATGAACTGTACAAAAAGATTAAAACTGCCAACTGAAAAGCAGTTTTTACTAACAAAACTAAACTGTTTCATTGAAGAAGTTATTACTTCGGCACCTGCATCAACCAATGCAGTGCTCGCTCCGCGTTTTTTTTAACGACGAAAACACGGAAGACATAACCCAGATAAATGAGCTAAACTTTGTCCAGTAACGTGATTCAATTTTCTTAGCTTCTTTTCGAGCATGACATTCTGACCCAGTTATACCCGACAACGTAAGCTATCTGTTCGTGCTATGAGTAAAAAATATAACTCATTACTCACTGCAGTGAGTGACAGAGAGCGCATTTTCTCGTCGACGAAAACTTGAGGTCACGGACAGACGGACGGACAGACAGACAGACAGACGGACATGGCGAGCACAATAGTGCATTTTTTCCATAAATACCAGCTCCTTTTCGAGCATGACATTCTGACCCAGTTATACCCGATTTCCAGCTCCTTTTCGAGCATGACATTCTGACCCAGTTATACCCGATTTCTAGCTCCTTATCGAGCATGACATTCTGACCCAGTTATACCCGACAACGTAAGCTATCTGTTCGTGCTATGAGTAAAAAATATAACTCAGTACTCACTGCAGTGAGTGACAGCATTTTCTCGTCGACGAAAACTTGAGGTCACGGACAGACGGACGGACAGACAGACAGACGGACAGACGGACATGGCGAGCACAATAGTGCATTTTTTTCATAAATGAGAAAATGCGCTAAAAAGTGTGTCAATATGTGGACAATATGAGTCATTTTTTTCTGAGTCCCACAGGAAAATAAGAGCGTCAAATCTGCGACCGATTGCAGCCGCCATGACCCATCCCGTCAGAATAATTCGGCCATAACTGGAAAATTGTGGAGCCACGGTAGAAAATTCCAGGCTGTCTCGCCGCGAATTGAGCCTTGAAAACCTGGAATTAGGAATTCGATGGCTTGGAACTGGTGGCTTAAGGAATATAATTTTTGTTTCTTATTAACCAGGAATTTAAATGCAAAGAAAATACCACGAAAATTCACCATATCTTTATAAGAGAAAGAAAGATATGGTGAATTTTTGTGGTATTTTTTTTTTTTGCTTTTAAATTCCGGGTTAACTTGCGATTCAAGCAAAGAAGTGATTTCAATATTTGTTTCTTATTACGATGCCGATGATTATGATGAATAATCGTTATAAAGCATGAGACGAAGTTATACCTAACAGCAAATGTTTACTTTCAGATCCATATAAAAAAATATTTAGGTCGGACCTCCAGGCTAATTTTGGCTCAGTCCTGCAATGATAAAATAAATTTCTGATAATCCCTGCAGTTATTATCACCTTTTGAATGATTATCACATAGAGCGAGCCAATAAGACACTAGCGTTACTCAAAAATATGAAGGAGTCGTAATGTCTAAATATTGACACACTCTCTCACTAAATGTACTATCAGAGACCCGAGTTAGAACTGATGTGGCCCTTTACCGTGTCAAACTGGGTCAGGATGACCCACATAATAGCCAAAATTCGGACAAAGTCTCACTCATTTCTATGAGTGAGCACAGGAAATTTGAGCCCCGGAGTCTGGCCAGGACTTAATATTGACACTAAAGTGCCTTCGAGAGGGAAGGATAAGATAGAGAGTCTTAATCTCGAATTTAAATAATGTATTATTTAAGTCCCGATTTGGAATGACCAACAACTCTGGTAGAATGCTGCAAAATAACTTATAACGTCATAGTATACGATGCAAAAACAAATAACTCAGTATGCAATAATTGCTCACTAATACAATAATGTTACAATACAATAATATATCAATAAGTATAATACTAAAGTTAGAATTTGTAGAAATGAAAATCACGAGGAAATAGGACGGTTTCCAAATGAAGAATGGAATTTTTTCATAGTATTTCAATGAACGGAAATTTGATATATAACTATAGAGGGGTGAACAGCTGAACTCGAGAGCGGGGACAATTTATAATGAATTAATGTTACGGCTCTAAACACCATTTAATTATAACACGAATGATAGGGAATCCGGAACTAAGTTTACAATACACGAAAACATATCTCCTAATATCACAACAGTACAAAACAGATTTTCAAAAAATAAAAGACTTTCACCAAAAATGTTCTAGCCTACCACGTGTTGGCACTGCGTGCAAAAGAACACACTTTTCGAGAGTTTGTTTACTTAGGCCGAGTGCATTTGTTCATTGGTGTGCTTCTGTTGTCGACGCAAGGGAGGCTCTCTTTTGTTACACCCATTATCATCCAATATCGTAATAACATCCCTCGCAACACCCATACATCGTCCCTACACTCGTGCAGACATCCTTATACTGTCCTTTTATCCTAAAATCGACCTTAAAAGAGCTACTTAAACGCCATGCAGTGATCAACTGTACCGCATATTACGATGAAATATTAGCCTTCATAATGACGTTATATTTTTTAGATGCGAAGAATATGTGTGCAGGATCCGTGGATGGTAAATTATGTTCGAAGATTATGTTGCAGGCGCTGACAGTAAATTATAGGATTCGCCTGCTATGTGTGTGTCTTAGAGACAAGAATGCCTTGACCATAGTCGTCCTCGTGATCATAGCACCATGCTACGCGGCACATATCCTACGAGTCACAGAATCGCAAATATCGACCTTCGGTTGTAGTGCGTAAGGATGAATTTCACTGCAGTTTACCGTACCAATGTCGTCGCTGCTGCACCGGAATGCCTCATGTGGCTTGGTCCAGGCATTTGCAGATTAGTTCGCTCAATAAAACCCTATTTTGATTTGATTAACCACATAACGCAATTCATACGCTAGTCATCGCGGACAATTGTCGATCAGGGCTGGCTTACGGCGACCCAGCGGGTCCAGTTCGCTGCTCCCAGAGGGAGCCACGCGTCCGTGCTCGCACATGAGTTCTATCATCTGGTAGTATTTCTTGTTCATTCGTAAATGTCTCAAGAGAAGATTCCTAATTTTGTCATTATATGACACAATCCTGCAAGAAAAAAAATTATGTCGGACCTCCAGGCTAATTTTGCCACAATCCTGCAATGCTAAAGTAAATTCCTGAAAAGACCTGCAATTATTATCACCTCTAGAATGATTTTCTGCCACATGGAGCGAGCTAAAAACTTTCCGCTAAAGCTACTAATGTGGGTTAAATTGCCCCAAAATAACTCAATCCTAATCAACTTACATCCTCTATAAATTAAGTTCGGCTTGCACACTGCACAGTTATGGTAATGTAAAGTTAAGGTTGGATAGATGAACAATCAAGTGAACACTGTAAATATGGTTGTGACAGGATATATAACGGCCCGTTGTGTGAATGTGTGAACATACACTAGTAAACACTACGCGGTGATCTCTTCCCGTAAACTAACCATTGTGCAGATCTCGTCATATTCACAACAAAAACTTCAATTTTTCAATTAATATTTATCAACTAATCATTAGTATTGTATAGCAGTATAGTATCTTCGGCATTGAAGAATAGGCCTGGATAGGCCTGTCGCCGATTCTTGTACTTTTCTTGGCTAGACTGGCCTTTTGATCAAGTCTTTTCAACAGACGGCAGATTTAAAATCGCTTCTAGATATCAGTTGTTCCGTAGGGTACGAGGCATTTTAAGACTAAACATATGCTCCTGCATGGCCTTGTCTAGTCTGTTCTTGAAGGCATTCATACTCGGAGCGTCAACAATATCTTCAGGGAGGCTGTTCCACATGTCGATGACTCGAAGCGAGAAGAAATGTTGTCGCGTGGATAAGTTGCACCGCAGTTTTTTTAGTTTATAGCTGTGACCCCTGGTATTGGTTCATGTTTCAAATTCTAGTATTGATAATCAAATCAAATTCAAATTGATAGTCACCAACCAATAAGTTGCGATTCTAAAGACTATGTAATAAAATCGTATCAATCTGCAACTCCAAAATTTTTGCTCCAACAAACTGCACCAAATGAATGAGTCACATTGTCCAATTTGACATTAGTTTAGCTAAATTAATGTAGTGCTACGTAGGATGTAGGAAGCTTGCTCCTTATCTTTTGATAAAGAGCATCAAAAGATGATATCACCGACCATGTTTTGCATCAAAAATCGATGTAAGACGCGGGGCTGCGTAAAAGGAAAGTGAAACGAAATTCAAGAGCGCATTTTTTTATTGTCCAAGAAAAAATGACATCACACAGACAGTTTTTCGACGCTAACCTGCCCTACGGTATACAAGGAACGCGTGGCCCTTGTACACACAATCTATACAATAAATTAGTGCCAGGAATCTCCTCCAGTGACGTACGCGCTAACGTAGAAATATACAAAACTACACACACGGCAATGAGAGACAGCATTGAGCACAGAATGGGAGACTCCTTATCTCCACACCGACGTAAAAGACTCATAGGAAGAGCAATCACAATTGATAGTTATGAGCTACAATTAAGGTTAATAGAACGCATAATACGCAGGAAGGTACGCGGGCGATAGCGTATACGCGGTAAATACATAAAGTTATTGAAGATGTTTACCTCACTATTTCATACAATCATGCCTGAATGAGTTTATTTTTCTCTTAATGTCGCAAGACTGCAGAAAACAATGTCAGCTAGCGATTAAAATAATCAATGCAAAAGAAATACAACAACCAACTATTAACATAGTTTCGTATAGGTTTCATAAATACAATGTTCGTTCGCATATCAAAGTTTCTATCTTACGATCTGTCAACAAGGAACTATTGCGGCCTGACTTGTCGTTCACACTACATCCATTGAAAATATAGAGAAACTTAGGTTATAATAAGTCATTTCCATTCGAAGTAACGTCAAATAAAATCGAAAGGTTAAATATAGCTGTTCAAAGCAAAGGATAAAACTAGCACCTTCCACAACCATAACTTTATTCGAGATAAAAAAGATTAGAAAAATTCTTCATCCAGACTTTCGTACTGCATAGCCTAACATGCAGGCTCGAAAAAACGATTCGATTTTGGATAATCGAGAGATTCAATAATCAGTGTCCGTGACAGTTAACATATGAAAACTGAAGAGTGATCGATATATTCGCCAGGGGAAACATTTTATGTGAAGTAATAGCACTGCAGAGATCAGTCCGTAACAAGTGTAATCTAATAACTGATAATTCCACGTGATAAATATTCTTTGCCGGAAACAAAATTCAAAACAACAAAATTATGTGCAAAGTAGAAAATCGTCAGTGCAAGATAATCAAACGAAGTTCAGCAGTCACCGGCTCAACCGATGGATGGATTCAGATAAAATCGATAATTTAATTAAAGATGGCAAAACGAAATAGATACCATGACAGCAGCGTGTGCTGTAAAGAGACTCGCACTAATAAACCAGAAAAGACTCGCACTAATAAACCGGACAAACTGAAGGCGCAGTAGCGGAAAAGCTTGGTACATAAGCATGGATAAATGGGTAAATCCACAGAGAGAATCCTGGTCAATCTTACAATTGATTGGGATAAAAAAATCACAATGAAGAGGACATAATGTTACCAGCACAATAACGAGAAGAATAATACTGGCAAGAAAATAAATGGACAGATTAAAGCATTAGAAGATCATAACAGAATAAGGAACGAGGTTATTTCGAAAGTAATTTCACCCATTCAGAAAAATCGCGAACAGTAGAAAACAAGTGATTTAACAGTAGACAACTTTTGTTCGCCGATGGTAAGGTTATTTTGACGTTAAAAGGACTTACGAGTATAGTATTAGTCCTACTATAAAATTAACAATCCCAATAACATTGTTAGCTGTTGATGTATTCGAAGAATATATGTCATGAGGAACGTGAGTGAGAAAATCAAGACAAGTGATCGATTAAATATAATTAAAGTACGCAAGTAAACCTCGGTAGTTGAATTTAATCTAGCGCATTATTCTGCAGTTTTGTTCTCAACAACAAAAGATGGCGGGAACTATGAACATCAAATAGCAACTACCCTCAAATCGACAATTTCATCGATTAACCTGACAATGAATCAATACATGAACAAGTAAATAGGAAGTACACAAGCAAGACTTCGCCCCAAGATCTAAGAAAACACTTCACATCGTCCACTGAACATAATATGATATTATAACTAATGGAGAATAAATGTTGATCGTGAATCATAATGGAAATTCGCTATCAATAAAAATAGTTGAGCACACACGCTCTTTGAGAAATTTAAATGGAAGAATTAATGTGGCCAAACAGAGAGCCAGTATAATACACAGAATTGCATGATATTTAAGAGAAGACAATCTTCAGGAAGTTTAATATTCGGGAAACTTGAGCGCTTTGCCATGACGGAATTAATAACCTACCTACGGTACGTTCCGCACTCTGTAGAAATCATTGGAAAAGATGATCTCAGTCAAAAGCGTAGAGTGGCGAAGACAATTTCTAGGTAATTCAGTACCTAAATTAAAACAATAAAAATACTAAACAAGAGAAGGAACCTAAATTTATCGAAAAAAGTTTCGAGTTAGTACAGACTGACGTTGGTTACAGTCTTATAGAGAGTGAATGACAAGAAAACTGTAGAGTTTTCAGGTTCACAACATCACAAATTTTCTGAGCATTCAAAGAACATCGCATCTTGAAACGATTGTTTAACTACTCAACAATGTGACAAGTTAATATAGTACAGAACACCATAAATTACAATTTTAGAAAGATGAAGACAGCATAATCAAGAGATTTAAACTACTTACTTATTATCACAGTTAGAGGCTGACATCGCAACATCTAGAGAGGCTTCACTAAAGCCTTATTAGTACTGAACAGAAGCTACATTACTATGCAAGAGAGATACATGACCAGGTGCGGTATTTGACGCTCAGCTGTGCAGGAGGCTCAAAGATTGGGTGCGTTTAGAAGCCTCGCGTGAGGAGGACGACGAGAGCTGAACACATACATAACCAGGGGCTTGCGTCGACGAGTTCTGTGATGCGCCATGTTCAATACCGGGGATTGAACTGCTGTCTCCGCAGGTTTCGGGAACCGAGCGATGTCGCTCTAAAGGAGCACGTCCAGGGTTATTGAATTCACTAAAGCTACGGGGACAATTTACACCTTGGCATAAAGTCGGTCGTGTGCTTTCAGACTCACTCTCATTGCCACCACATCTCGACACACCAGCGTCGGCATACGTGTTTCCGGCGCACGCACCGATTGAAATTGCAGCAATCCTGTCCACGATAGCAGCGTCAACACATTCTAGTGCAGCGGTTTGTTCCGCCGCCACAGTTGACACAGGCATGTTCAGGTTCGCAGGGGTTCTGTTTGGGCTGTAATGTCCTGCGCCATAAGCCTCTCTGTAATCAAGAGCCTGTCCAAAGGTGTTCTGGGGGCTGTCGGAATCACAGCAGCTTTGATTAACCGTGCAGCTGCTGACACTGCTGAGGTCAGCTGCTCCTGTTAGGTTATTTTCACCATCGGATCCTTTACCATTGCTAGTTTCATACCAACTTTCCATAAAAGCAGCTTCCCCACGTTCACCTGACGCACAGTAATGCATTTTACTGCCGCCGCTAACGTCAATGGGATAGCTTTGTTGTTCCCTCTCTGCACCTGAAGAGAAGTTACCAAGAGACCCTGAGGCTGCAGACACGGCTGAGGCAGAAATACTTGAGAGCGCCGAGGCTGATACGCCCGACATGGCAGAGGCCGATACGCAGGACACAGAGGCACCAGAGCCAGTCTCCGAAAAATGATCTTCGAGGTTCAAAGAGATGTGGTCTCTGCTCTGCGATGACGCGGATCCAATAGAGAACGTGACGCCCTTAGAGTGAGCGGAGAATTTACGTGCCGTGATGATGGCACTCACGCTGTCCAGCCTTGGATCGCTACCATGCAGAGGATCGTGTCTGTCACTAACATCAGTCGTTCCATCTATACCTCCATCACCACTCAAGTAGTCGGTAGCATCATCATCATTTGTCGCTTCGTGATGGTGGTGGTGGTGATTATGATGCACTCTATGGTGATCATGGTGGTGGTGATGATTATGATGCACTCTATGGTGATCATGATGGTGGTGATGAATGCTAACGTCGTCATCTATACCAGCGTCACCGCTTCCCCTGCCAAGACCGTCCCTACCACAGCCTCCCTCGGGGATATACAAGTTGGTGGTCGTGTTGGCAGAGATAGACGACAAGATGGACGGCGCGGCGACGCTATCGGTGTTGGCGATGACACCGACGCTGCTGTGGGCGCCGCAGTCCGAGGCGTCCAACATAACCGTGCTGGCGCTGTCGCCCGCCTGGGCCACGTTCGTTACGTTGCTTAAAGACACTACGGTGCAGTGCTCCCCTTCTTCCTGTACCTGTTTGACAAGATGAATTATTACATTTCTATTACAGAGAACAACCTTAGACGTATAGCTTTGAGGAAAGAGCCATTAATTTAACAGTAGCAACCTTTTCATAACAATCAGCACACTTCTAAACTGTCCAAACCAGGCGCTAGCAAACTCTGCATAAAGCTAAGAGTCAACAACAAAGAGCCATCATCTATATACCTAAAACCTCTCGTTGCGCTAAACAGTTATCGCACAATGCTATAAATTAAGTAAAATGGGTATAGTAATTAATATTAATAGTAATAATAGCAGTAATACATCACCTTATATCGCTGCACGGAGCCAGCAAGAGCGCGTGTAGACGCTGTGTCAACGTCAGGAGTGTTGACAGAGCGCTCTGATACCGCGAGAGAATCAGTGTCAGGTGCGCGGCACTGGACCACACCGCACCTGCTCGTCCCACCGCCTGTGATGCGCGACGACGTGTAGTCGCCGCCCATCTCAACGTGCACCTCCAGTCTGCCAAAAAAACTAAATTAATCCAACCAGTCAATGTACCAAACCAGCCATAGTATAATAATTTCAAGAATTTATTTACACTTCTCACTTGTGGGCGCGAACACCATAACATGAAGAAGAGGCAATGGATCGCGCTAAGTTCTCACTTGTGCAAGCGAACGCCATAACATGAAGAAGAGGCAATGGATCGCGCTAAGTTCTCACTTGTGCGAGCGAACACCATAACATGAAGAAGAGGCAATGGATCCCGCTAAGTTCTCACTTGTGCAAGCGAACACCATAGCATAAAGAAGAGGCAATGGATCCCGCTAAGTTCTCACTTGTGCGAGCGAACACCATAACATGAAGAAGAGGCAATGGATCGCACTAAGTTCTCACTTGTGAGAGCGAACACCATAGCACAAAGAAGAGGCAATGGATCGCGCTAAGTTCTCACTTGTGGGAGCGAACACCATAACATGAAGAAGAGGCTATCGATCCTGCTAAAGAAGGCGGTGCGATGGCCACGTTGCTGGCGCTCTCTCTGTCAGGTTCTTCGCCCCCACCGTCCACGCCAGCCACGCTCTCCGTGCTCACGCCATCGCAGCTCGCGCTGCCAACGCCGCTCACGCTTGAGACTCCGCCGTCTGCAATATATGAGAAAATTATATGATGGATCAAAATGTGGTAATTGACATCATCACGAGAGGCTAATATAAAATTAAATGTTAGTTTAAGGTGCAAGGAAGTAAATAGACTCTTACATTTAGGTTTTCATTGTGTTTTGTCAACATTGAGATCTCGCAAACCTGAACCTTGGGAGTCAGTGATAGATTTTTATTGTTAATAAGTTGCAACTACTAAATAATAGTTGAAAATGAACATAGTATGTAGTTCTAGTTTGTGGAAAGAAAGATAAAGGGTGGTAAATTGCGAGGAGAAATTTATAGTGATTTAGAATCTACTGAAATAGTGGTCAAAACAGCCGATTGCTCAAGTGCGTGAAACTATTAAACAGACCATGACAGAATTGAAACTATTTAAAAATATGCAGAACATGTTTAAAACTATTCAAAAGTGCGTACAACATGATTAAAACTGTTTTAAAATATGTACGAGATAATTGAAACTGCGCAAAAATATGTATGATATCATTGAAACATATGAAAACATCTTGTGATCTTTAGAAATTAACCGTTTAATCTGGCGAAGCTGCGCACAGCAGCGGCTCCGCTCATGGCGATGTTGGCAGCGGTGAGAGCAGCTGATGACGCTGGCGTGTTGCTGTTGTCAGCCTCGTCATCAAATGCTATCCTGACGCCAGATGCGGACGTGATGACACCACATCCTCCAGAACGGCACAGCGAGATTGGCACCACACCGTACACATACGCAAGGAGGATTGGCACGCCAATGCTGACTGCAACTCCCGCGATCACGGGAGACAGCAAACTCTGCCAACATTCATAATATTTTACTGCGATAGCTTGGGACTATAATACTGATCTAATAAAAATATATGAAATAATTCAATATCTTGGTACCTCTACACAACTGCTCTAGGAAAATGATATTATTTATTCTTCATTTTGATAACCTCTTGAAGAAGAATCTATGCTTAGGCACCATTTCAATAGTTTTCTACAGATGGAAGTGGAACATTGTGAATGTGGAACATGAATGAAGTGGAACATTGTGAATATAACTCACCGACCAGACAACGCTGCACACGACCATAGCGTTGCGCTTGTGTCTCCCAGCAGAACTGTACTTGGCATGCACCTTCCTGCCTGCCCAGATCGGGATGCCGATGATGATAGCGGGCACAGCGAGTCCTGCGAGCAATGCTATACCCAAGGGCGCTCCCACTAGCGTGCCTAGCTGCCATAAGGCTTTTTTCTTGCGTGACCAGGGCTTCTTGCCCCAGAAAGTGCAGCCCGAAGGGCTGAGGTAGTGCAGATCAGAAACTTCCTTCATGCACAACCAGCAGAACTCTGCACCACACACCGAGCACGTCATGTGGTTACATGACCCGTCGTCCATCTTGACAATGAGCACCTGGCATCGTGGACACGCTTTCACGTCGTCATCTGCACGGGAAATGCTGGCTAGAAAAGCGAACACATCTTCTGACAAGTGTTGGATCACGTACACCGTCATAAAGTATGTTACGAGCCAGTCAAATATATATACTCTTTTATATCACTATGACGAAGCAAACCAATGACTTGCCTGAGTTGTAGAAATAAAATTTCAATACTTGACAAATTAAGTTAGGGGGGATTTTGAAGTAGGTACTTAGTAATGACAAACACAAAAATAACACAAGCGTAACGTGCTCATCCATGCGGCACATAAACAATGAATTAAAAAAATTCGGAAAATGCTGGTCATCACGAAGTCTGAAATAAGTTTTTAAACACGTGATATCTCCTCCCTGAAAATTATTAGAAAACAAGGTTTTACAATGCATAGCCTGAGCATCTCAAGAACTCCAGTGAGTAAACAAAAATTCCCACGCCTGCGTGAAAACGAAATGTGAAGGGAGATGAGTTCAACAGAAGTTCTCACCGCTATGTGAAGACGGAATGTTATAAGGGAAGTGAGCAGTAAACACAAGAGCAACAGAAGTTCTCACCGCTGTGTGAAGACGAAATGTTACAAGGGAAGTGAGTAGTAAACACAAAAGTAACACAAGTTCTCACCGCTGTGTGAAGACGAAATGTTATAAGGGAAGTGAGTAGTAAACACAACAGCAACACAAGTTCTCACCGCTATGTGAAGACGAAATATTATAAGGGAAGTGAGGAGTTCTCTGTCCCCGTGCCATGTCACAAGTCTGGTTGGGATGCCACTCTGCCTTGCAGTGGTAGCAGAAGTGGCTGCCGCACCCTGGTCGCTCACACTGCAGCTTAGGACAGCTGGCGCAGCCTGAGGCTATTACGGCGTAACCACAATCAGGTGCCGGACACCATCTTGTGTCGGGGTCAGTAGACAGCACGCGCCGTAGCATGAAGTCTTCGAATTTGTAGGATAAGGCTGAGTTGTTCAAGATCTGGTGGATATCTGCAACACAACGAAAACAATAAATATCAATAATAAATAACAACTAGCTTCAAGATGATTAAATTGTATTTCAACAAACGAAAAAATACTGCCTTAAAAGAATTATGAAAAAATAATTTTTCCTAACAATATGCATCAAATATTTTAAATCGGAAAATAATTGCCATATAGAGAGAAGCTCTTATTCCCTAAAATAATTTCCTTGTATAATGACGAGCATGACAGTCACGCTTGTAACGTCATAAATAATAATAGCAGCAGGCTATGTCTGATCTTTCGTTTGTTAATATTTATCAATCTATAATAACATCAAGAAACAATAGAACTCACCGGTTGGGTGCATAAGCTCGCTGCACTTAGGACACGTGATGGTGATACGTGACTCTGAGATTTCCATGGCGAGGTATTGCTTGAGACACGTGATGCATGCCGAGTGTGAACACGTGAACAACTTGGGGAACTGATCAGCAGGAACGTCTTGCAGACACAGCACGCACTCGCGCAGCACCACAGCACTGCAGCTGCTCATGCTGCCGTGCTCTGCAGCAGCTACAGCAGCAGCAGCGATGCTGGAAGCACAATATTCCGCATCCGCGGATGCGTAAACACACGTTTTGCTGCCCGCTAAGTGAGGGCTGAAGTTACTGTTGCTGCTGCAGGGCGCGCTGTGTTGTGACAGCAGCCTGACAGGTAGTGCAGGTGGGGGAGTTGATGGTGAACTGTCTCCTGCACAAGTCTGGCGCTGAGTACACGGGGTGGATGAGGCTAAACTGCCGGTCTCACTGCAGTGGCGAGGGTGGAGTGAAGGTGGAGGAGTAGATGGAGTGCTGCCACTTCCACTAATCTGGCGATGGAGGTCGCCAAGCCCCGAGGTCTGTGGACCGGTGCATTGGGTCTTAGACGCCGACCGATCCAAGGGTCTTGTGCCATCCTGAGAGAATAAAGGCAGGCTTACAGGGCATTCTGCTGAATTAAAATTTATAAATAATCAGGTCAAAAATAATTTATTAATGATCATGCAGAAGTATGTGAGTAAGGTTGTTCACATGTCATGGTAAACATAAGATACCGTATTGTACTCTCGTCTTGCTATGTAGGACCGTGTGCCAACTTTATTCCATTATCGTATACCACTTAGGATACATTTTCAGAAGTGTAAAGGCATAAAAAGAGCTATAAAGTTCTGGAAATTATTTTGAATATATTTATCATATGGGACTTTAGAGCCAACGATTAAGTCTAGTAGCCACAGAGTACAGGAGTGTACTTCTGAAATACAGGCCGAACTACACGGTAGCATGACACAATTACGCAATTTTTTTAAATAAATTTCAACACCAATTGACAAGAATACTTATTGTTCAAGAGAAAGTAACGTAGCACGCAGGCGTGAAGCTCTAACCTCTATATATATATATGAAACAACGAAAAAAATTCGTACGAAAACTGAAACACATCAACTGAAAATGGTTCAGTATTAATCTAATTCGCATAATATCAACACAATCTATACATAAGTAGCTCTTTAAATACTAAAACTTACTGCATTAACTTTGGCGACATTGTCACCGGATTTCTTCCTCGCTTTCGCGCGTCGTGTAGATTAAGGACTGCCTAAATAATTTATTGCTGGACTGCAACAATAACGCCTAATTTATTTCGGATTAAGGACTGCCTAAATAATTTATTGCTGGATTGCAACAATAACGGGTAAGTTGCTAAGCACACGATGAACAATTCACTGAAGCGATTATGAGTACGTATATAATGGGTAGATTGCATAATACCTGAAATATGCCTACAGCCAAATCATGGATCCTATTGCAATACATAATATTATTAATGATCTTTTTGTGCTTTTGAAATTTTGAGAGAAAAAGTTTTCAAATAATCCAGATTTCCAAATAAAACTGGGAGCAATCATGCACCGATCCAAATTTTGAAGAAATTAACTTAGAAATTTAATTTCGTAGGATTTGATTCGAAATTTTTTCCTCTATTAAAAAGTGAAGGATGAAAACCCTTCACTGCAATACCGGTACCCTACATGGAATAAACTACACTGCCCAAGACTATAAGCCAGCCAAATTATTTCGGTAGGCAACTCATATGTTACAAATTTCTGCCAATCTCTTCAAGAAAAGCTACGACGAAGCCGTTGACTTAAATGCATTGAACAAACTACACACCCAGAAGAGGGATGATGGTTCTGTATTGCCCGTAGATGAGAGGTGCACCACCGAGCCTGACCACGACATCGGACAACCAACGTTGCACCACGCCAATGATGAAGTGGTGTAGGTGAATAATGCTTAAGCCTTCTGTCGCCATAATAACAGACCGGGCCTCGCACCATTTCAAACAGGCTTCGCCCACACAGTACCAAAGCTAGGCAGTGAAGAATCGAAATTCCAGAAGCGCAACGAACAATCGAGATCTCTATTAAACAAACCACGTTCACCAAAAATTTTCCTTCAAAAAAAGAAACAAAATGCCGAAATAAATCAAACTATTTAAGACAAAAACGTTTCCCGTCCTATACTGCCAAGCCACTAAGATGGAAAGAAAGACAATCTCGAAGTAAGCGTTCAACACTATCACCAATGAGGGAAACTTTCATCTGCAGGTGGCAAGGTCGTTCACCGCTTATCTCTAAGGTTCACAGTGCAACAACACTAAAATAAACTAGATCACTCTTAAAAACTTAGTAAACTTAAGAGCATTATCGCCAAACAGAAATACAATTTTTAAGTTCGCACACGCAAACTAGCTGCAAGTTTATTGGATATAAATTAGGGCTCGAGAGGTACCGATGTCACAGCAATGCACGAACAGAGAAACTATCACGCACGGCCTAAGCTCGAGATAAGAGATAAGGAACGCCAGCTAGTGCTACAAACAACACTCGACGCAGATTAAAGCCATGACCAACCAGGTATCAGGGCTCAGTGAACAGCAATCAGACGATGGAGATGAGAGTGAGAGCAATGGCAATGTAACTTCTCAGCATAAAACTTAGATACCATAAATAGACTAATACTATTTGACCAAGGCAAAATACGAGGAAACATTAAATTTCCGATAGTCTTTCATTATTTGATAGAAAACCGAGCATTTTGCATTTCAAATAAAAATTAATAGCTGTATTAATGGCGACATCTGGTATTGTGAGACAGATAAACCGACTTTTTAAAGCTATCAATAACATCAAGCTCGTGCAATATCGCTATCAACACTAGAATGTTTTGAACGATAACACAAAGCAAGTGACGCAACTAGAATTCTATCTCAGTACAGCTCAATTCGGGTCATATCAACATATGGCTGCCCACTATATATCATCAAAGCAAACGCATACCAAGGACCAACTGCGTAATATAGCTGAAGTATGACAGCTTGCTTACTTTTACGCATGGGAAAGAGAGATGCAAACATACAGATTACATCACCGATTGTGAAGCAACGTGGGCATGGATAGAATTGCTTGTCAGTAATGAGAAGCTCATGATTGATTTCATTTAACATGCTTAATACCACTGTTCCGTATTTGTAACTACGCTTCAAATATTTACAAAGAATTTACAGTGTCGTTCAATTATTCTCTCGTGATCACACGGCCCAATTCCAGAGACCATCAAATAGAATTTCAGAAGCTAAGAAATCACTTGCATAAAACATTTATTTATGGCGAGGCAATTCGTAGATGTCACCTGTAAATTTTTCCAGAACCCCAATACAAAATAGTGATATATAATTATAACGCGAGCATCTGAATTTTTAAAATTGGCTATAAGATGAGAAGAGAAATTCATATATAACTCAATGATTTACAAAGAAAAAGAAAGCTGAAATCTCGTTGACAGAATAATAAAAAATATTTTATATATTTTGCTACACGTCACATGTCCTTCATTCACGAATTTCAGTAGACTGAATATTGCTGGGTAGACCGAAGTAGACCGAAAACGCTAAAACCCGACATGTTTAAAGTTCATGATATGTACAATGATATGGTCCGGAGGACACCTGAAATAATTTGAACACTAAACTACAGCCTAATCACCGCAGATAACGATAATTAGATAACACGTCATCACCAAGCCATCTTGAAGGTTTGCACGTGCATCTTCATGCCATGGAATTTACCGTGACTCAGCAATGTCTAATAAAATCTCTGCAAAAGAGCTCAATGCTTGATAATGATCAAAACTTATGAAATTGATGATATTTAGTAAGGCTATCACACAATAGCTAAAGTGAATGGACGATGATGGTTTAAGTGAGTCAAGAATCAAAATAAGCATATATTAAATTTTGAAAGACAATTATTAACAGCAATTCCACAGTCACCGTACTCAAATCAGATCGTAATTTTACACAGTCAAGATATAATTTACTACAACTAAAAATATAATAACTAAATATAGGATACTTTGAAAATAATGAAAGCCGTGATACTTAGAAAATAATGAATGCCGTGATACTTTGAAAATAATGAATGCCACGATACTTTGAAAATAATGAATGCCACGATACTTTGAAAATAATGAATGCCACGATACTTTGAAAATAATGAATGCCGTGATACTTTGAAAATAATGAATGCCGTGATACTTTGAAAATAATGAATGCCGTGATACTTTGAAAATAATAAATACCGTGATACTTTAGAAAATAATGAATGTCGTGATACTCTGAAAATAATGAATGCCGTGATACTTTGAAAATAATGAATACCGTTATACTTTAGAAAATAATGAATGTCGTGATACTTTGAAAATAATGAATGCTACTCACTCTGCAGAGGCGCGGCAGCAGTACACACAGATCGCGCCTTGGGTCGTCGTGAGAACGGTCCGTTCAGCAGCAACGAGCGCAGTGACAACCTCGGGAAAGTTAGGCCAGGGCCGTCACTATTACTGAAAACACTGCCACCACCACCATTGCCACTGCCACTAATACCACTACCACTGCCACTATTACCCCCACCACTGCCACTAGACGGAGATGGTATGCTTCTACCAGACCGTGACATCTTCTCAAATGGGGACTGAGTTATTGTTTTTTTTTTCACTATTATGGGTGATCATTCACAATTTTCAATTGAAACATCAGACATATATGAAATTTTTATCTATCACTCAAACCTACAAGAAAAATGTGTGAACCATAATTAGACAAGAAATAAATGCTTGCAAACTTAGGTTTGGCCTTGGTTAATATAGGTAGGTATATAGGTAGAAGTTCGGCTTCATTTTTGTACTGTAGAATTCTCAGAATTCACTTACTCCCAAGATAATTTTTACAATTTAGATTAGATGCAGAAAATATCAAATAAAATCAGACTGTCATTGGAAAAATAAATTAGATTTGTTGAGTGATCAAATTTTTACTTTCTGATTCTTTTATGGCATGTGGCACATTGAAATGGCAGCAAACAAGTGAATAGCAAAGATGTCTCACTCTCCATTTGGGTAATGTCAAATTTGATTTCACAATAAATAGATTTGATCCACACTGAGATTTAAATGCTCTAAAGTCATTTCAAAATTTATATTACGGTACTTCTTTATATGTGTTAAGATATTAAATTTTTTCATATGTTTTTGCTTGATTTTGTTGATATTGTCTCACTGGCTCTGACTCCACTGCAGAAAATACTACAAACAAAACAGGGCCACTGAAGAATTTCATTTCCCATCATGAATTTTTGAACAACTTGTGTCTTTTAGAAATTGTTTGCTGTTTAGAAGCAGTAATCAATTAATTTTTATAAATCAAAGAGCACTTAGGCATGTGCCATGTGGTGTAATAAAAAATTGTGGAGGTGTGTAACAAATGTGCCATGTGATGTATTATGGTAGCGGTGATGCTTTCAGAATTTTAATCTGAAAATTTTGGGTATTGGTATTTTGAATTCATAATTTTGTGAATAAACAAAATAGATAGGTAAATAGATACATACCGGTAAATATGATTAAAAATCAGTGATCAGTTATTAATATCAGAAACATTACTTTAAACAGTATAACAGATTATAGGACCAGCACCAAAACAAGTAAGCAAGGGGGTATTTGTGATTTTAATGCTCAATTTGCTAAAGTCATATTGACCAATTGGTGGCAGAACAATGCGGCACTTTAGCAGATAGCCAACGCTTGGGTCAATTTGACGGCTTTGGCATGTGTTTTTGCATATAAGCATTGTGGGAATGAAGGTTGAATTGGCATCCAAACATCCCAAATAAAATGACAATGAATAGATTTGGTAAGCATTTTATAAATTCTGTTTGTAAATGGGAATGGAAATGTTGCTACTATTTCATAAACTGTTCTTGAATACACTTGTATAACTAAAATTCTATATAGTTAATGGAGTCTTCAAAACAACAAAATAGTTAGATTTAAAATATTTAGAAGACTGAGATCATCGGAAGACTTGTAAAAAAATGTTTCTTGCATAAAGGTTCAAATATATTTTGAGCTTTTGTCTGAAATTATGCAAATGTTAATTAACTTGAACTGAATATACATATGTTTAAGGCTTTTACAATACAATGACCATTCCAGTTCATTACAACAACAAATAAAGAGAGAACCACCTGCCAGTGATGACCAAATGAGTGGCATATGAGGCTTTTTGAATTGGCTCCCCTCACTTATTATAACAATCAATATTTGTTATAATATTTACCAGTAATAATTTTAATACAAGATAGTTTGCACTTGGCAACTGTGTATTGAAATGAACTGCCGCACTGGCAACCAGAATCCATATATAACTTATTTGAGCTTGTGCTCACAGCGTCAAAGCAGAGACTTTTTTTAGACTCTTTCTCAAGTTCATTTTTTAGTCCTATAACTAGACCAGTAAAGATTATGGATACCAGCAATATCACAAATAAGAAATTGGTTTAAATATTTAGTAATGCTGAAATTAAAAATAAACAGATTTTAAAAAATCTGTGGTCTGTCACTATGCTTGTGCTTTCATTGCATTTGAATTATGCATGTATGTGATTTTGCTCCCTAAAATTGCCTCTGCAGAGTGCGGTACGTATGCATCATGTTGAACTCTTTTTGGTGGTGTAGTTAGTTTTTAATTTTTGTAGGCTAGTGAAAAAATATCTACTCTGTGAACTGCGACTGGATTTTTTGAGCCATGATATTATCAATATGCAAGCCGTGAATCCCATATCCCGGCCATGAAGAGCCATTTACAAGCCGCAAATTGATTTGCCAAATGCTGGTGCATGCATTAACCCAAATCTCCAATTTTACCCTAGAAACAGCAATAATAACATTTGTCTTAAGGGGAGTGCCTGGCAGAAAATTTTTGATTTTCCAGCTTTTAGCCTCATCTTAAAGCTGACATTCTGACAAATCTAGCGGCATCAAAATCATCTCTGTATGTTGATTTATGAGTTCACAATAGATCCCAAAAGGGTTAGGTGTCATGGAGCTCTTCCAAATTTTAGATAGGCGGAAATCAGGGGCCGGGCACATAAGAGGCGTGTCTGTGGAAGCTGCACCTTAGTTACCTAGTAGCTGTCATGCAGGAAGGTGTTCCCTCCATCTGTAACTTAATTTAAGCTCAAGTAATGTCTTGCCTGGTATCCTTGCCACATTAAATGCCTATTTATAGTGTGCCACGAGGCGCTTGGGGCTTTGTCATGCTTTACTGAACATTCACACTCATTGTCACTGCAAACCTTCTCTCTAACAATTTCAAGTTTTCTTTCCTTCTTTTCAAAAAATTGACACAAATAAAAATTGTCTATTTTTCTCTTTTACATATATGTACCAAGTTTCAAAAAGATCTCTCTGTAAATAGCCAAGATAAAATTTCTGCCAGACACTCCCCTTAACTTTAGAGGCAACTGAACGTGTGATAATGCAGTCTGACAAGACTGCAAGCTGTAACTGTGCGATCTTCAACAAAACATTTTGGGTTGACTCATTAATCATTATGAATGATATATTTGTGGGAGCCTGGTACTAAGTACTGTAAAATGGGGTAACTTTGACAACTTTTTTTTCAAAATGATGTCATTTTTACTAGATAAGTTAAACTTAAATTGAAATGTGCAAAATACAGGTCTATACTCTAGCTTCAATTACCATAAATTGCTGGCTCCTGCCTCTCATAGTAAACCTATTAGATATGCAAACTTTTTAAATCTTTCTATTGTGTTACGTAGCCTCAGTATTAGGCCTTTAATGGCCATTGACAAAATTTTTCTATGTCAAATAGTTTTTGAGTTTTGGGGGTTCTTGTTAAAAAACAAAAAGTGGTCAAAGTTACCCTGGGAGTCAGAGAAACCCCATTTTAAGGTACTGCAGAAGTTGAAAATTTTAAGAAATGATATATTCGTGAATCGCGATTCTTCAATAAAGAAAAATACATGTCATTAGAGCCGCGAGATTTCATACCCATGATGGCATTCAAAATGCCTTTTAAAAATCATTTAATAAAGTAATTGAGGAGCACTGTGGCCAAAAATAGAAGCAGGACAGCTGAGCACTCTAATACAAGAAAGATGGCAGCAGTGGCAGTAAGCTTGTCCTGCTTGGCGCGAGTGGATCGTGCTAGCAAGATGGGAGCGGGACTGCCTGGAGGACAGGAGGAGTGCATTAGAGCTCTCCAGCACCAAAATCAATGCCATATACTTAACAAATAAGTGTCCTATCCTTAACAAATAGCAATCTTGGATGTGATTTAGAGCCGCAATATTTCAGTATAAAGAAGGTCTTTTCCAGACTAGCCTGTAGGCTAATTTACAGTGTTTGACTTAGAAACAATTTGCTATAAACAATTATTTAATCTTATTAAAATCATTAAGTGTTGCAACCTTCATTCTATATTCATTCAAAAGCAACTTTAATCCCTTCTATTTTTATCTCTTCATTCTAACTAAAATTTTTGAAAAAAAAGTGAAAATAATGTATTAACCCTCATTCCTAGAATTCCATCCTGCTGAGTGAGTTTCCAGTTTGTTACTTTCCTTTAAAATTTAAATGTATACTTATTTACATTATTACACAGTATATTTAGATTGGGCATTTCCATTTGGGCTTGATATTTTTCAACTCAAAGATTTTTGACTGTTAGGAATTTTAAGCTTATTGATTCAATGATTCCTAATGAAAACCTTTCTCAGGCTTTCTGCAAAAAAACATTGATGGAGAAATACTTGACAAATGACAAGTTAGCCTGGTTGAGGTTGTGGTACACAAAGAGTAGCTACCTAGGCCTGTTTGACTTCGTAATTGTCTAATGACAAAGTGCACATAAACGACATCTTATAGATTTTACACCCCACAGGCTTGCAGCAATAAATGCGCCTACAAGCTACAACGCACAAGGTAATTGCGAAGATTTCAAACGAAACTAACGATCTACGAATTTACGAAACACTCTTCAATGATGACAGAACAAGAACGATTGTCATCACTCATCAGTATCGTCACGACCTCAAGAAGTCGTTTTCAAATACGTTCAAAATCGTGCATCATCACATAATTGATAGTTTGATACAGACTACAGAGAGATGTTGAACAGTCCCTTGAATACAAGCACTCAACTAGAGTGAATATTAAATGAAAAAATAGTCTTCCTGGTTCACTTAAAGGCAGAAGTTCGGAAGTAAATTCGTTCAAGGGCAAACTTCGTCTAGCTTCCGTTTCTACATGCATAAAAAAATCCTTATCACTCTTATTAATGTCTATGACACATCAAAATGATCCCAAAACACACTAAATTACACTGAAGTCCATATTGGAATTTGGACCGTCATCGCAAATTCAGAATTTTTGCATGAAATGCGATAAATTCTGCCTTTCGTCCTAACACCTGTAAAACTCAGGAGTCAGGATGCTCGTCGCCATTACTAATCATAGAAAACTGAACAGAATAAGCATATTAACTATTTTTTCAGTTTATTCAAAATTCATAAGCCACTCTTCATCAAATTTTGATACAGAATATAGTCAACACATTCAAATTTTCATATAATGACTTTCGATTGTAGAATTCAATCTTAATTAATGTTTTCATATCTTGTTTTGATATAATACGTAGAAAACGGTCGTAAACAGCTGATGTATTTCAAACATAACTATTTTATTTCCTCATGAATGGTTTACAATCTAAAAAAATATGCAAGTTACAAAATCATCATCAATTACCTTGACTGCATTTGAAATCATACTGGCTTTGGGTTAACGCATGCTGTCACCGAAATTGTATCAATTTACACTCAAAAGAAATGCTAAACAATAGTTGAATCTATTTCCAACGTAGCATTAGTGATCTCATTCAACTGGATTACCTATGGATGTACAAAAATTTTACATATTCTATTGCCTAACAGCGGAATATAAAGCCAGTCGAAAAAACTTATGATGTTAAATCTTGAATTGCTATGCAGGATCTACCCGACCTCAGTTAGCAATTCCGGTGTTCACGAGTTAAAGTTTAAACTCTTCTGCTTTGATCTGACTCCAAAAGATCTTGATATAATGAATAGTCAGTCGTCAATGCTACAAACTGATTTACACTAATTATTTACTTTATTTCACTCAAAATTTCAAGCTCCCTAAAAGTTGATAATCGAATTAATTTTATCACTTGCAACGTTGAAATTTTGCCATCGTGAAAATAGATTTCGACTGGAAATAACAGTTACGGGCGGTAAATTAGCTACGAAACGCGTTCCACTCGAAATTTTAGAACTCACAAATATTGGGCTACCAAAATATCTAACATAATTTCGACCGCACAAACTGCAAAGTACAACGAAATCAAATCTCACAATATTAATGTTTGATGATTTTAGACGGTATTTCTGGGTATACTGCCAAAGATGGGAGGCCTATAGTAGTAAAGAGTAACTAAGTTCTGATGTACTTTTTGATCTTTGAAATCTGTGTGTCATCGTGCGAGAAATAGAGCACAACTTTAGCAACAATGACCGTGATAATATAAAATTAGGCATTGGTTTGCGGTAGTCCAAGCAAGTTGGGAAACCAGCTATCGTCATGGAATTTTTCGAAGTTCATAAAAGAACTTTAAATGAATTTTAGCGATATAGGCTCTGATAGCGGAAAATGAGGGAAACAGGAAGGAAACGCCAGGTGAATGCCGAGAAAATGTTATATGTAAATATTTAAAATAAAAATTGACGTTTTGCAATTTTCTATCGCATACAATGATACAAGTCTTCTGAAGTATTTGGGGAGTAACAAAATAAATAAGAAACACTCGATATGAATACGGACAACAATGTTTCGGCATAACAAATCACTCTAGGAAAATTACCTCACCAACAAAACTAATAGTCACACAATTGTTTGCAAATTTTTTATACCAAACGACAGGTGCAACAGTACCTAGAATACATTAAAATAACAAATACAAGCATTACTAGACCGTAAAGAAGCGCTTATTCCAACAGATGATTTAACATGACATTGGAGTAGTTTTTCAGTGACAATTAGGTAATAAAATAGGTATCTGAGTGGATTTAAAAGAATGAGAACTAAAGATTCAAGACATATATTACTTCTTTTTCTTGCTGGATTTGCTAGGCGCTGAGAGGGATGACACGTCTACACCTAAGGCAACCGCGAGCTCGGACTTGAGCTGTAGTAGCTTGGTGACTTCGGCAGCAACGGCGTCCTTGGAGGCGCCGCTGCTCTTGAGAGTGCGCACTGCTTCGCCCTGATATGCAAGTAATCCGTGTTGAATGAATATTCAGAATAAAAAAAATAAAAACTTGACTATATATAATAATAATATAATATAGCGGTTTCAGCGTCCTATATGGTCAGGGTGGAAAAGTGGTAAAAGTTCAGAGAACCAGGATTGGAGCAGAGAGGTGCGGGTTCGATCCCATCTCTGTGCGCAAGTTTCTGGTCAGAATCGGCGAGGAGGCCGGGCGGTTGAGCAAAGCAGAGTTGGAGCAGCCGTAGACCTGTCGCCGATTCTTAACATCACAGAACATACACAGCTTGTTGCGGTCTCGAACACGCAACTCACTGCTTCAATTCTGCTTTCTGACCAGAAACTGGCGCACAGAGATGGGATCGAACCCGCACCTCTCTGCTCCAATCCAGGTTCTCTGAACTTTAACCACTTGGCCACCCAGACCATATTGGACGAACTCCATACAAATTTTATGCAAAAGGCAATAAACACACATGACTCAATGTGTAAAATTTTATATCCTAAATCTTATCATTTGATGAATACTAATTTGTGACTTAAAAAGTAATAGGATACCTAGCAGATACGCACTTTTAGTAACGCTTGGCTTCTTTTACTATCAGTAATAAATATATATTTTTGAGAAAAAAAAATCAGAAAATTCACATCAAATGACGAGAAAAAATCAAAATACGTAACTATCAACTGAAACCATAACTAATATAAATTTTAGTGGTAGCTAATACTAGGTTAAACATTACCTGTTGAGCCACAAGCATTTGAAGTCTCTCAGCATCTGCTGACGCCGGAGCTGAAGCAGCTGGAGGGCCGTTCACACTTCCCACTACTGCTACAGGAGCTGTGATAAGATAACCAGATTATAAAAACATTGCCTCAATATAATATTAAGAATAGCAAGCAGGGAAGTGTGGACGACGTATATTTGCCGATAAGATACACTGGGATTTCTCATTATCCAATGTCATCTTAATAGCAGAGCAATCGGCAATATTGCTGGTAGACAACTGTTTAGGTAGACAACTGTTTACAACAATGGGGACAAAAAGTTGATGGTAATTTTGTCAAATCATCGAACTAATACGTACTGTAAGAGACTATATAACACAGCATTCTTCTATTTTTCCTTTATGACTGTAATATTACTTAACAATTTTTAACCGTAAACTGGTATAGAGTTCAAAACACATTTAAACACCTTCCTTTCCTTTCTCTTCCGTAAAAGCCAGTATAAATTACCCTTTCCGATCCGTTTCGCGAAAGTCTGTATAAATTCTTCCCTTTCCTATCTCTTTTACACAGGTCTGTATAAATTCTCCCCTTTCCGATTTCTTTTGCGGAAGTCTGTATAAATTCTTCCCTTTCCGATCTCTATCGTGAAAGTCTGTATAAATGTGAAACTTACGAGCCTTCTTCTGCTTCTTGTCTTTAGCAGGAGGGACGGCAGGGGCGCCCTGGGCTTGCGCAAGCTGGTTCTTCAGCTGCAGCAGCGTAGCAACGTCTGCTGATATGTCTGCCTTGGACGCTCCTCCGGCTTTTAATGCTCGAACTTTGTCTCCCTGTTCCAGAACATTTATAGTTGAAAAGTAGTAGTTCAAAATTATTGTAAATTAAATTTAAAAGTTTTTGACAGCAATCATAAAATATTGTTCATAAAAAAATAAGTAAGCTGTAAAATTGCGCATCGTTTCAAAAAAATGTGCTTCAATTTTGATAACAGAATGAACATTATCGTCAGAGCTTATTCGATTATATTTTAAGAAGCAACCGTGTAGGAAAATTTAGTGACACAGAAATACCTCTTTACATATTCACCCCTATAAACACACCCTACCTGTTCATCAATCATCTTTTTGAGGCTTTCGATATCAACATTAACTATAGCTGGAAGAACAACGGCTGAATTCTTCTTGACTTGACATTTAGCCGCGCTGTCATCTGTGCCCTTGAATTGAAGCTGCCACTGCTGCAGTTCTTCATCGGTTATCTTCTTGATGAGAGGCTCAGGTTTTGTGACTTTGCAGCCAGAAGGCACAGCGTGAGGTAGCGCGTTGGGCAGGCGCCAATGTGTGGCATCAGGAAGGTTCATTATCTGCAGAATCTTGGCAGATGTGTCGGGCATGTATGGCTGCAGACACACAGCAACTAGAAACAC